CTCTAATTCGGATCGACTCTCCCATGGGGTTCACGTATAATGGGGTCGGTTCAGCTTCCCCTCGTGCTAGTGTACAGAGCTTGAAATCGCCGAACCATTTGTCATGTTGGATGGTTGAGACCACGTGAGGGTTCTTGTGTATAGAGGTGTAACAAGTATTCTGAAATGTTGAAATTTAAGGTATGATCAATTATTGTATTTGGACACGAGTCATAACTACGACATTAGGTCGTTGTTTGGTTTGGATTAAAATCCAATTAAAATATCAAGTTAAGTTCAACAATTCATTTAACTACACATATTATTGGATTCACAACTTTTCAACCATACATTTCATCAATTTCTATCAAAATCTACTAAAAATTTGAGTTTAATCCCCACCAAACGAGGCTAGGAATATCTTGTTCAATCATTTTTATTTTTATTTTTATTTTTTAAAGAATAGTTTTGTGAAATGTTGAAATTTAAGGTTTGATCAGTCATTGTTTTTGGAGACGAGTCATAACATAAGTAGTTGAATTATATTAAATGTGTTTCATTGATGAATGGAAGGTTCACTTGTAAGTAGGACCATATTTCAATTTTAAGCTTATTCCAAATATCCGTATTTATGGAATGGGAAAAAGAACGCAAATGGCAATTTGTTAACATAATGGGCTTTTAAAACTAACTCAATATAAATTAGAGATTATAATTTTTCGAACTAGACAAATTTCTCATTTATGTTTTAATAGAGTTATGTAACATTCTAAGCATTGAATTTGTTAAGTTTGTTTCTCTAATCTCGTAAACTTCAGGATAATGAACATATCTTAAATAGTTAAAAATAAATACAACTTATTTTGAAATTATCTTGTTGTAAAAATTGACGATAAAATATATATACAACAAGACGAATGAAGGTCGTTGGATGACACGCATGTGGCCTCATCCCAATAACTGATATCTCTTGTCGTAGACATCAATCAATCACATCCTTAAATGCTAATACCATTTTTATATTCATAAGGCCCAATTCGCGGCCTTGGACTTGAGTAAATAGGTTGGCGGTGACGGTTGCAGTGGATTGTCCTGTCAATTGTATAATACAAGATTTGGATCGATTCTCCCATGGGGTTCGCGTATAATGGGGTCGGTCCAGCTTCGCCTGTGGGAGAAAACTGGTCGTCCGCGCTCGAGGGTCAGTTCAGCTTCAACTCGTGTTAGTGTACAGGTCTTGAAATCGCCGAACCATTTGCCATGTAGGATGGTTGAGACCACGTGAGGGTCCTTGTGTAGAGAGGCATAACAAGTATTGTGAAATGTTGAAATTTAAGGTCTCATCAATTATTGTTTTTGGACATGAGTTATAACTACGACATTAGGTCGTTGTTTGGTTTGGATTAAAATCCAATTAAATATCAAGTCAAATTCAACAATTAATTTGAACATTACATTTTATGGGATCCACAACTTTTCAACCATACATTTCATCAATTTCTATTAAAATTTACTAAAAAAATTGAGTTTAATCCCCACCAAACAAGGGCTAGGAATATCTTGTAAAATCTTTTTTTTTTTTAAAGAATAGTATTGTGAAACATTGAAATTTAAGGTTTGATCGGTTATTGTTTTTGGAGACGAGTTATAACATAAGTAGTTGAATTATATTAAATGTGTTTCATTGATGAATGGAAGGTTCACTTGTAAGTAGGACCATATTTCAATTTTAAGCTAATTGCAATTAGCTGTATTTATAGAATGGGATAAAGAACGCAAATGGCAATTAGTTAACATAATAGGCTTTTTAAGCTCACTCAATATAAATTAGAGATTCTAATTTTTTGAACTAAAAAAAATTTCTCATTTATGTTTTAATAGAGTAATATGACATTTTAAGCATTGAATTTGTTAAGTTTGTTTCTCTAATCTCGTATACTTCATGATATTGAATATATCTTAAATAGTTAAATATAAATACAAATTACTTTGAAATTATGTTGTTGTAAAAATTGACGATAAAATATATATACAACAAGATGAATGAAGGTCATTGGATGAAACGCATGTAGCCTCATCCCAATAACTGATCATTCTTGTTATAGACATCAATCAATCGCATTCTTAAATGTTAATACCATTTTTATATCCATAAGGCCTAGTTTGTGGCCTTGGACTTGAGCAAATGGGTTGGCAGCGGCAGTGAATTGTCCTGTCAATTGCATAATACAAGATCTGGATCGACTCTCCCATGGGGTTGGTCCAGCTTCGCCTCGTGGGGGAAAACGGGCCGTCCGCGCTCGATGGTCGGTTTTGCTTCACCTCGTGTTAGTGTACAGACTTTGAAATCGCCGAACCATTTGCCATGTAGGATGGTGGACCACATGAGGGTCCTTGTGTAGAGAGGCGTAACAAGTATTGTGAAATGTTGAAATTTCAGGTCTTATCAATTATTGTTTTTGGACACGAGTGATAACTACGACATTAGGTTGTTGTTTGGTTTGGATTAAAATTCAATTAAAATATCAAGTCTAATTCAACAATTAATTTTAACCACATTTTATGGGATCCACAACTTTTCAACAATACATTTCATCAATTTCTATCAAAATCTATTAAAAATGTAATTTTAATCCCCAACAAACAAGAGCTAGAAATATCTTATTCAATTTTTTTATTTTTGTATTTTTTAAAGAACAGTATTGTGAAATGTTGAAATTTAAGGTCTCATCAGTTATTGTTTTTGGTGATGAGTCATAACATAACATAATTAGTTGAATCACATTGAATGAGTTTCGTTGATGAATGGTAGGTACACTTGTAAGTAGGACCATATTTCAATTTTAAGCTAATGCCAATAAGCCGTATTTATAGAATGGGAAAAAGAATCCAAATGGCAATTTGTCAACATAATGGGCTTTTTAAACTACTAAATATAAATTAGAGATTCTGATTTTTCGAACTATAAAAATTTCTCATTTATGTTTGAATGGAGTAGTATAACATTCTAAGCATGGAATTTGTTAAGTTTGTTTCGCTACTCTCGTATACTTCAGGGTATTGAACATACCTTAAATAGTTAAATATAAATACGACTTACTTTGAAATTATCTTGTTGTAAAAATTGACGATAAAATATATATACTACTTCCTCATATAATCATACTAAAAAAATTCAGACCCTACGAAAATATTATCAGTAAAATAAAAGAATAAAACAATGATTTTACATGAAATCGCCTTCATGCGTAACAATGTAATGTTATCATTCACGAGGAGTAAAAATTGATGGAAGTAAGTAGACATAGTGAAAATTGAGGATTTTCATTTTTAGATCTTTTGTTTCAAAGTCAAGATTCAATTACTAATTTTGTTTTTCATCACCTTATTTTTTCTTCTACTTTTATGTTTTCATTGAAGTTTGGTCCCCATGTCCCATCAATTACAATAATTTTATGAAAGAATTGCTGCAACAATCACAAATGATTCGATTTCTCGTAGAGTTTATCTAAACTTTTCATTTGTGTGATTCACAATTCCAAACCTTTAATTTAATTACAGCACTAGGACAAATGAATTTTTTTCGTCCAATTGACCATTAGTTGATCGGAAAAATAAAAAAATTGACATATTTTGACTAATTTTGACCAAATTCAAAAGGTTAAAATAGTAAATTTTCATTTTTTTCCCAAACATTAACTATTAGAGTAATTAAAATAAAATAAAAAAGGAAAAGGAAAACTTGGCCACTCTAGCTCCACCCTCGAGTCCTTCATCTTCTTCAACACCTCCACTCTCAATCCCATCCTCCATCCCTAAATCAAAATCAGAAAATTGAAGGTTTGGAACTATGGATGACACAAATAAAAGATTTAAATTAAAGCCTACGAGAAAATGAAAGATTTGAGACCATGACTCTAATTCTACAGAATTTCTTAGCTCTTCCACAGTGTTAGAGACATTAATATCAAAGAACAAAAGTCGAGAATAAAAGTACAAAAGAAAACAAATTAAGATTTAAAGTAACCAATATAATTCAACTTAAAAAGGTATGAATATTTAAACAAATATCCTGTGCTTGGAAAATCAAGAACCTTCAAAAACCACCGAAATCCAACAACTTTCTATTATCATTGTACTTAAATATTAGCTCTTGTTTGGTGGGAATTTTTAGTAGATTTTGATAAAAGTTGATGAAATATATGATTTAAAAATAAAAAAGTAAAAAATTAAAATTAAATCAAGATTTTATATTTTTTATATGAGAATCGAGAACCGGATCGACATCGATCGATTCTGAATTTTAATATCAAAAATTGAGTAGAGTCGGGCGAACAATCAGCCGATAGTCTGCTTCTAATTTAGTCCTTTAGTTATGATAATTTTTATCTATCCTTATGAACAATGTATTCCCTCAATTAAGATTTAGAAAAATGTAGTGGGACAAAATATGTGTATATAATCAGAGAGAATGATGTACCATTTGTTTTTAATAAATGTGAAACTGACCCATTGAAAATCCAGCTACCAATTTTCATATTATTGACTTGTTAAGTCGCTCGTTTGACGTCACTTAAATTGACTTCATTTAACAGTTTTTTTTTAATTTCTTTTAATTAAAAAGAATGGCATATAAGTGTTTTTCAATAGAAATCTGACTTGCTAAAGTTTCAAATGGATGAAATACTTTTTATGGGTCACCGTGTTAACTATTCTAGACCAACTTATTAACACTATTAAGTTTGAGGACTAGTAGTGTAATTTTCAATTTAAAATAGAAGATTTGTCTCAGTCGTACCCCCTCAAGCCTTCCACTTGTATAAAAGGTGATCAATAGCTTCCATTTTCCTTCACAGCACTAAAGAAGCACACACGTTACTGCATAATTGATTCTCGAAAAAATATGGCTATGCGCATTCGCAGTCTACCACACGTTGCTAGTTTAAGCATCATGTTGCTTATGTCTTTTATCAGCACAGTTCATGGCCGAATTCTAATAATCAATTCCTCCGATGATTTAATCTCAGATGGAATTGATCGTGTTGATGATCAATCTGTAGCTCTTACTGCAAATGATGTTCTCGTGTCCGCAAGCACTTGCCATCACACATATGGTTTCCTACCATGTGCAGAAAATACTGGAGGATACATTTACCAAATACTGGTCTATCAAGGTCTACTAGTATTTGGAGAAATGCAGCTAAGCATTGGGAGCAAGGTGTTCTTTAAAATCCTTGAAAATCGTTTTGGCACAGGCAAATATGTTAGTATCATTTTCCGAATCCTCATGGGGTTACCAGCAATGATGATGATGATCAGTAAGTTATAAATTGATCTTGATATCTTTTCATCCTTTCTAGGGAAATTAACATTTTTTAGTATTTGATTCTTGCATTTCACTATGTTGCATAGAAACTTATAATAGACTAGAGCATCCGCGATTTGAAAACATTTCGGAAATAAAACTTTCCGGGAATCTTTAGCATAAGTTCTATAAATGATTCTTTTTTCTTAACAAAATTCTAAACCTTAAGCAACTCTATAAAATGCTGAAGCAAACAATCATTGCTTGTAGTATCTGGAGTTTTCGGTAGCAAAGAGACCGCTCGGTCTTTGGTGTCACTTGGAGTGGGCATCTATGCTGGAATTACTGTCTTCACTCTCACGCTGCAGTGGGGTATATGTCTGATTTTTGGAGCGAAATATTTGGGACAAAAATCAAAGTGTAGGCATTCACGTTGCTTGCCAGTCAAAGAAAAATTCAAGGAATTAAAGGGTTAGCCTCTTTCACATGAAATAAATTGGTTGATCTTTGCAATTTGAATATATAAGAACTGACAATTCTTTCTTAACTGCAGATACCGGTGTTATACTTCAAAATGATACTCGTCGTCTAGCTGGAATTATGCTTCTTTCTTTGATTCCTTATATTACTGTGCAACTAGTTGATATTTTCAACACATCCCACATAGTGCTTTTGATAGCGTTAATAGTGTCCGCCGCATCTTTACTTTTATATTTTATGTTTCAGGTATTATGGTTAAAAGCTAACCTTGTATTGCTCGCGATTTAATGTACCATATTGCTAATTTTCTTCTCTCTTTTTACAGATTGTGGATCGTTGGATGCAGATATTAAGTTCAGATTACTTGCAGTATGAGATTCTAAGAAACGCATTTTTGCAACATGTTGAAAGGCGGGGAAAACTTGTTGATGATGATGGGACACCTAACTCTGCTCTCATCAAAATGTAATTTTTTGAAATATTACATGTAGATTTGCTAATCGTGTCCAATGAGGGCTCTCATTTTATATTTCTGTTTGCAGTGTATTTGATGAGACAGACAGAGATGGAGACAAATATATAACTAGGCTTGAATTGGAAAAGTTGTTCAATAAAATCTTGCCAGAGATGTCCGAGGATGCCATAAAAAAAGTCGTCGCTGAAACAATGGAAGTATTTGATTCTGACAATGACAATAAAATCAATGAATCTGAATTCGCTGAAGCATGCGTAAAGTTAGCTGAAGGCACTGATTTCATTTCAAGAGAACTTTCAGACAAGGCAAGCTTCCTAATTCATGAAAATTTTAAAACTATTGATACTAATGGAAGTTTAATTTGCAAGATGTTGCTTCTATAAATTTATTCAGACTCCTATCATATACTTGTAACTTCTTTTTCCAGGATAGGATGAAATAAAAATATCCAAACTTCCTATCGAGTGTAATATGCATCAATAGTAGTTTTTGAAAGTAATTATAAATATATTCCTTATTTGGGTTGATCTGCTGCAGGACGGTCAACAGTTTAGTCCGATTGAGATTGATAAAATAATGTCGAAAATTCTAAAGCACGCTGAAAGCCAACTACTTAAAGGAGAATCGCTTATCATGGAAGATGGAAAACCGAACATTGAAAGAATTAACAAGTAATTGATCATAAATATTTACCTGTTTGTTTTCTCGGTGTTACAGAAATTCCTCACAATCTTCTTTTTGTTCTGGCAGCATCTTCAGACAGTACGACACCGACAATAACAACAAGATATCAAGAAATGAATTAGGGCAAATAATCAGTAAAGTCCAATTCGGAAACTTGAAGCCGGAGGATGTGGACCATGTGGTTAATATATTCTTTTACCATTTCGATACAGATCGTAATAATACGATTGATAAAGAAGAATTTGTCCATGTACTAGAAAGATGGCTTGATGAAGCCAGTCTTGTTGCTAAATGCTCTGATAAGACTAAAAGTGTGGATGAATTTGACAAGGTGAGAAGTAAATTATTTAACTTCCTACAGAAGTTTTTTGTTACACTTCGTACAATTTACTGATCTCATTGCAAATTAATTAATCCATTCTTCCTTTTTCCTCCCTTAACTTGCAGATTGTATGGGAAAAAGTCGTTCCTGGATACTCTTTCCTGGATATTGTAAAATGTATGCTTAAAATAGTGTTGGGTATTGTTATATTGACCTTTGTTGGAGGACCTCTCACGACTAGCATCCTACAGTTATCATATGCCATGAGGGTGCCTTCTTTCTCTATCTCATTTGTGATAGTGCCATTGGCAATGAATACAAGAACCTTAATACAAGCTATCTTTCCAGTCAGTAAAAAGACTGAAAGAACGGCATCTTTAACATTCTCTGAGGTCCCTTTCTCTCTCACAAATAAACACGAGCACTCAAGCATGCGCACACGTACACATTGTAGTAGAGCATTAACAAAGAATTGTGAAGGACTCGCTGGTGAAACATTTTTCATTTGACTTGCAGATTTATAGTGGAGTTGTAATGAACAACCTCTCGGGTTTGACAACACTGTTAGCAGTTGTATATGCGAAGGACTTGCCATGGGATTATTCGGCAGAAGTGCTAACTATTTTGGTTGTATGTGCCGTAGTAGGGATTTTGGGAATCTCACGTACCAATTATCCTTTCTGGACTTGCTTATTAGCTTTTTTCCTCTATCCATTCTCCTTGGCGCTGTATTGTTTTGTTGTACTTGTTCTTCATTGGAACTAAACCGATCACGTTTCTCGGGTACCCTCTTCCGTCAAAATGAACATGTTGTTGTGCTATCTTATTAAGAAAGTAATAAAAGCAATATTATTGCCTACAAGCATCATGTTATGTTAATAACTATCATTTGAAAATTGTGAAAATGGTTAGCACGAAAATGAGAAAAAGTTTTTGTGAGCTAGATCTATATTTCACTTGATTGCCTTGTATTTATAGGCGGATTTACAAGATTTAGAGCTTGTTTGGTAGAGAATTTTGGGGGAAGAATTGATTTTTGAATAGTGATATGATGGGAAATGTGTGGTTGAAAAAGAAAAAAAAATTATTGATGTGATGGAAAATATTATTTTATTGAAAAATGTGTGGTTGAAAATGAGAATTGATTTAAAAATCAATTCTCAAATAAAAAACAAACACCCCCTTAGACATACATAAAGATAGAAGATTGATAACTCTATCTAACCAAATAAAAACTAAAAGATTGGAATTTACGAGACTTAAGATATACACTTATATAACTCTGTTACAGTAACTAAAAACCTAAAAGATATGATTTTATTTTCATCAAAATACCTCCCTCAAGTTGGAGATGGGATTGAAAGGTCAAGAACATCCAACTTGCGAAGTAGTCGGCCATAAGCCACACCTCCAAGTGATTTGGTAAAAAGGTTCGTCATTGGTCACTAGATTGCAACTAGGAAGTTAAGAAGACCTGCTTGAATCTTTTTTCGAACAAAATGATAATCAATTTCAATATGTTTGGTGTGTTCATGGAATACATGGTTATCGACAATGTGAATAGCAGCTTGGCTATCACAATGAAATGGAATTGGTTGTGGATGATTAATACTAAGATCTGAGAGAATATATTTTAACCATTGCAACTCATAAGTGTAGCAAGGGAACGATATTCTGCATAATTATGCAGAAGAACGATAAACTATTGGTTGTTTCTTGATTTTTCAAGAAATAGGACTAGAACCTAATATGGTCAAATAACTAGTAGTGGAGCGACGAGTTGTAGGACAGTCGGCCCTATCAAAGTCAGCATATCCGACTAAAGTAAGAGAACTACATCACAAAGGAATAAACCTTTACCAACGCTACCTTTAAGGTAATGAAGTGATAGGGATTGAACCAGTAATACAACAAATAGCGGAAACAACTTCAATCGCTCCGATTGTACAAAATTAAAATGGCAGTAGTAATATCTAACTCCAATAACTCACACACACTGCAAGAAAATAAATAATTGAACGCAATGATTTGTTCACTAGGGAAACCCTTCAGTATGAAGGAAAAACC